CTTTGATTCTGGCCACTCAACATTGTAGCATTCTTTAATTGGCCTATTTTTATTATTATAAGTAGAATAAAATTTACCCACATGATGTTGAAGATGACTTTTTTCCCAAATGTAGAGTAGCTACATACATCCTATGAAGTGCTCTTCTCTTTTTTGACAGTGATTCAATGATCTAAAAATTTTACCAATATAAAAGGAACATGATTGATTTTATTGTTCACTTGTTCAAAGAAGTCAATTACTAATAACTCAATGTGCCCAAGGACCTTCAAAAAATGATCAAGTCATAAATTGCCAAAGCTATCATTCTTATGCCTTTTTCATCCTCTAAGCATTTAACGATATAATCATGTAAGATTTCTCACATGATGCAGTCACTTTTGCCTTTTTTTTGGATATATGAGTTCATATTTTGAGTGAGGACCTCCATCATACAAGTAAGTTTCTTTTGAGATCCAAGTTTTTGACCTCACCAATAGATTTTATCTGAATTTGAGAGATACAACCATAGCAATGTAGTATACTCTTCAATCGTCAGGGTCATATCTATCTTGTTGAATATGAAACATCTATAAGCATGTCTTAAAATTGAGCTAGAGCTCTTATCAACTGATTTTTTGTAGACACCTCAAGGAGTGAAGTAATATAACCATATTTTTCCTTAAAAGCCATCTTTTTAGGAGTTTTTACAAGACGCCAAATCTCGACCAACTCAGAGATGTCATTTTGTTAAAGTCCCAATTTGATTTTTTTAGGCAAAATTTCTTGTTTAGATTCTTTTAGATAGTTTCCCATTTTGCTTTGGGCTTCTAATGATAGAGTTATCACCACATTAGTCTTTTTACACATGGTGGCCTTTGAAATTGAAAACATCATGATGGTGTTTTTGTAGCTAGATCGAAAATCTTCTGCCTAATATTGGCACATTGACAAGCACATCTCATATGCAAGTGTTTATGATGATGCATGATCATGAAACATAAGGAAAGCAAAACAAAATAGGGTTAGTAATCGTATTAAAATAAATATTCCCTTATGTGTCCTAATTTAGGGTAAAATCTACAAAAATGGTATGGCTCTATTTAAGGTTGGTTTCTTAAGGTTCACTATATGCATGGTTTGGTAATTAACACAAGCCAAAAAGGTTTCCAAATTGATCCTCATTGTCATCCACTCCAGACTAGTCAGGCCCTCAATTCTCACCCATAACAAGTTGTTGACAGAAAGGGTTCAACTTCAATGGAAGTATTTCGCTAGCCTAAGCAGAGGCATTATAACCTTACGAAAGCATAGGTACTCTACTCCCTCTTAAAAAGGGATTGATTTGAAAGCTCGGGTATATAGCTCGTGCATGAATACAAATATGCATATGTATGAGGGAATATAACAATTATTAATCAAAATAAAATCAACAATATAATTAGCAACAATATAAGACAATAAAATGACATAATAAAACTAAATGAATCCATCAAATTTGTACCTTTTTTATCTTTATTTTTATTCTAAGATGAGATAATAAAGTAAAATTAAATATCAAAATGACCGTAAAATCAAAGTTTAGATGACACATGTTTGATTTTTGGCTTGACTTTCTAGTTGTCCCCAGTAGAGTTACCAAGCTGTCATAATGATTTTTCGTCCAGAGGGACTTGATCGCTAGTCTTGGTGAAAATTTACAGAGTCACCACCAATATTTTTTGTAAGATGTGATTAGCCACCCAAAAATATTATCTTTTAATAAAAATCTAAAAATTAATTAAGATTTACTAAAAATAATTTTAGGTCTACAAAATTAGGGTTGAGTCCAGGAGTATGGTTATAAGTGAGAAAGATATTAGTACCCTCACGTCACCAGTTTGAAGAATGGTACCAATTAAACATATGTAATCCTTTAATCTTGATGATATGGTCTTTTTTCTATTTAAATTTAATTTTTGAAAATTTATTTATGAAAAATATTTTTTTTGTTGTGAAGTTAGTATTATTATTATTTTTGTATTCTATAAATTTTTGAACGCTTTGGCGAAATTTATAAAAAATCTTTATTTAGAAAATATTTCGAGAAAATTAATTATTCACAAAATTCTTGAAATCTCATCATAAGATATTTTATTTATTTAATAAAATGATTTTAGGAACATCTTAACTCTATAGCGAGGTCCCAAATTTTATTAAATAAATTTTAGGATTATCCCGATTATTCGACGAAATCTTAAAAATTTTGAATAAGTTTTAGAATCATCCCAACTTTCTGACAATAACCTAAATAAAATCATTTTTTATTTATGATAATTAAGGGATTTAATTAATTAAGCAATTTTTATTGTGGATTTTTTTGTTATTATTAACTATTTATTAAAAAAATTTTAGATTATCCTAATTCATTGGCGAAATCTAAAAATATTAATAGTTTACATGTATTAAAGAAAATCGAACTCTTTTAATTTTCTTTAAAAAAATTACATTTTTAAAAAAAATTTATTCAAAATATCAATTATTATTATCATTTTATTTTTATTTTGTATTATTTTTATATTACTTAAATAAATATTTATTCTAGTAAAAATAATTTTAAATTATTTCAACTCTATGGTGAAATTCGAAAAATTATTTTTAATTGCAATAATTAAGGAAAACTAAACTCTTTTAGTTTTCTCTAAAAATTACATTTAAAATATTCATTTAAACAATTTATCATTTCCTTTTTATTTTACTTATCTGATTATATATTTTTTAAAATTTTATTTTTTAGAAAAAATTATTTTTTAAATTATCCCAACACTTTAGTGAAATTTAAATAACATTTTTGCTTGCAATAAAATTTTATTTTCTTTAAATAGTTATTATTATTTTTTAATATTTATGCATATTATTTTTATTTTACAAATTTACATTTTATTTTAACTTTATTTTTATTTTTTACTTATATTTAAAAGAATAAATAATAATAACACAAAATTAATAATAATAATAATAATAATAATAATAATAATAATAATAAAAATCATCATGACAAGAAACAAAAAAATCAACACAAGATAAATAAAATCAAAATTAAAATAGAAAATAAAAAAAAAAGAAATGGGAAATCTAACCAAATAGGTCGGGTCAGATATAGGTCAAGGTACAGGTCGAGTGCAGATCCAAATGTGGCGTCATTTTGCAAGGGTTATAAAAGGCCCAAAATCTTTTTTTTTTAATTTTCCTTTCTCCTCTCCTCGACCTTCAAAGCCTCTCTTTCTAAAATTTATCCCTCTTGTTGACTACTGTAGCAACCCAAATTCCATCCGGTCGCCATCGTGTATCAGTGGTCGAAATCTACAACAATGCCAAAAAAAAAAGTCCTAGATCTCGACCGTTATCCCAATTTTCAATTGCTGGAAAATTCAAAGGCCAACGAAAAATCAAACTTTTTCAACTTCCAGTGACCCCAAAAATTTTTAAAATTCTCAAAAACTCTCAAAATACTCCTTTTTCTATTCTAAACACTTTTCCTAAAACAAATTTTTTTCAAAAAAATCCCAAGCTTTCTAGATGATAGTTTTCAATTTTGGTTAAAAGATTTTTTTTTTTTTTGGCTTCTGGAAACAAAATTTTTTTTTTTGTTGGTGGTTCCTCTTTGGGAGGACTGTAGTGTTTTTTTTATAGTTAAGACCTTGTAAACCCAAAGAATTACTTTACATTTTTTTGGCAATGTTCTCTTTCCCCCTTTTTTCTTCGTCCCCTTTCCTTTTTACAAAAATTAGCTCTATTTATAGAGCTTATGGGATTCAAATCCCAGATCTGTTGGGATTTTTTTGTGAAAAATTTTAGAGACTTGTTCAATAATTTCTGGTCACCGGATTTTATGCTGCTAAGTTATGTAGTGTCAAGGGAGAAAAATGCAGGTAGTAGGCAACTCTGTTCTCTGATAAGCATTTGTTTCAGAAAATGGCTTAGAAGTGGAATGCTATATACGGGTGATCGAATGCCTTAAACATTTTTAACTTCTTTCATAAAATTTTTCTTCGACAGTCAGAACCTCATTTTAGGGTAGTCGAATGCCTTAGAAGCCTTTTGTTTTCCGTAGCCCTTTCTTGCTTCTTTTCGTTCTAGGTGATGAATGCTTCTCTAATTCAATTCTATTTTATTTAAATAATCTTCAAAGGTTGTTCCTCTTGATCTTTGATCATTGACTTTGCTTGAAGATCAATTACATCCACAATATGCTTCAAAGTAATTCTTTGAACAACTTTTTGCAACATTCAATCCAAGTCTCGATTCATTTACTAGATTAATCTTTCTTAAATAATTGGTCAAACTTAATCCTTAGTAAATTTTGTTACTAAATCTAAACACTTGATCGACCTCATTAGACAACAACAAGAAGAGGGTTTTAGTATCATAAAAAATAATATGGGTTCAATAAAACTCAACATAATTGGAAAGCACAATTTTTAGATATATTGCAAAAATATACATTATGAACCATGCTACCAGTGGCCATTGACCAACAGTAATATTGGTCTGTTGATAAGGTATTGGACTTTTAATTTCAGAGAGTAAATTTCAAATTCCGATAGTTTTAGATAAAAAATAAAAAAAAAAAACCAAGCAACCAGTGATTAACCAACCAGGCCAAAAGAAATTAACCTTCAATAATCTAATTAATGACATTAAGCAACATAAATAATTAATCAATTGGAGTTCCATAAGCGGAGGTAATGCCAAAAGTGGAAGATTTTCAGAAGAAAGAACAATAATTGGTGGGGCAACTCATAACATCTTATGGAAAAACACTACAACAGAGCAGAACATAATGCCAGCAAAAAACACAACAGATACAAATTTAGAAATTATGAAGACACCCATTTGAACAGAGTTAAACAAGGAAAGTAAGAAGACCCTGAATCACAGTGCCCGAGTTGCTCAACCATTCAGATTTTCAATGAACAACTCAAGTATTTGAACCATTGCCACAGAGAAAATTAACATAGATGATAGAAAACATGCACTTTCTAGCCAGGTCCCAGTGAAGCAGGGTGCATATCTTCCTCGAATTCAGTTCGATTGCCACTGTGACAAATATGAGAAAAAGAAAGAGGTAAGATTAACTGTAGATTACAAAAGCAATGAGAGTCTAATAAAATTCTACTTTGCAAAATAGTTTAAACTCACTTGAGTATTTTAGATGTAGTGTTAGTTTCTTCTTCCTCCATTCCTGTGAATCCACCTCGTAACATACTTCTCCAATCTCTCTCAATCGTTCTAACAAACCACCATGGTCTTCCAGTTGTGAAAACAATGTATCCCACCCTCAATCCCAACACCAATCCACATCCATAGCCCATCATTGCAAGTTCCCAAATAAAGGGTATTGCAGAACCTTCATCTTCCACAAACGCTGGTGTAGGCGGTTTTGGTCCCTCACCGTTGCCACATTTCTTTGACAGTGGGAGGCCACACAATGCCAAGTTGCCACTATAGGAATCATTGTCGAAAGTATCAAATTGTTTCCCTTGCGGGATGGGCCCGATAAGATTATTTTGTGAGAGATTTAACACTTCCAGAAATGTCAGATTCGTCAATTGGGAAGGAATCCTGCCACCAAGTTTGTTCCACGGGAGATCTAATGATTCAATTGCTGCCATACTTCCAAATGACGATGGGATGGAATCATTTAGGTTGTTGTGCGAGAGATTGAGCACTAGAAGAGCATCAAGTTCGCCAAGTGCATCAGGGATTCGTCCAGAAAATCGGTTGTTTGAAAAATCTATGAGTGTGAAACCGGATAATGTTTTCTCCAGCTGTAGCTCTATTTCCAACTTTGTCATTCTTACTTTCACAAAATTATCAAAACCAATTGAAGTATTCTTCCCTGGCAGATTATCAAAACCAATTGAAGTACTCTTCCCTCGCGGACACGTATATGCTAGAGATCGAAGACATCCGATGGATGGAATTTGAGATGCTACAGTTTGAGTTGTCACTGCCACTTTTGTAACTTCCAATACATCTTTCACAACTTTCATAGCTTCCAAACTTTGGAAAATTTTTGTTGGCAAGAGGCCACTGAACTCATTTTGAGAGAGGTCAATTATTTGCAATGATGAAAAGGAAGACCGAACTATGGAAATGTTGAAGGGACCATGAAATCTATTATATCGCAGGATAAGAAATTGCAGCTTCGGAAGTTTATCCAACCAATGGGGAAAGGTATCCCTTAACTTGTTATTTGCCAAATTTAAAAATCTCAAAGAAGTACAATTAATCAAGGATCGTGGCAATAAACCCTTCCAATTGGTTGTCATTAAGGGCAAGATTTGTCAACATATTATCCTCAACAAAGTAATCGGGGATTTTGCCATGAAAGTTGTTCATCTGTAGGTTTATGGTTGAGATAGAATCGCTGAAATATCCAAGGCACGCTGGGATAAGTCCACTTAAGTTATTTCTAGACAAATCAAGAATCTCAAGTGAAATCATATTACAAATCCAAGGAGGGAGTTTTCCTGTCAATTGATTTTTGGACATGAAGAATCCTCGCAATGAAGGTGGTGGAGCTAGAAGAGGACCTTGGAGTCGGTTGTAACGAAGGTCAAGGATTTCAAGATTCGTCCCTGGAAATAGCTCAAAACTCGTCAGTAGGTTGTGAGAAAGATTTAAAGTGGTCAATTGTTCCCACCCTTCCGATTCCCACTTGAAAATTGAACCTTGAATTTTGTTATAGGAAAGATCAGGAACTCTCAAGCTTTTCCCTGATCGTAAGAAATTCGGGAATCGGCTTATGTTGCAAGAAGAGAACTTTAAAATATTGAGCTCTTGAAAAGTGGAGTTAACACTACTGTCACTATTCAATGATAGCAACTTGTTATTTGAAAGATCAACTGTTTCAAGATTTTGGAGCTTTGAAAGCATAGCTGACTTGATGACGCCAGTTAAGTTGTTTGATGAAAGATCAAGTCGGGTAAGATTTGCAAGATCAAAGAAAGAACTTGGTATTTCACCGTGTATGTCATTATTGGCCAAAAACACATGCTGAACTGAATTAGGCTTTTGAACCTGATTGATTGGACCGGTGAGCCTGTTACGACTGAGGTCTAAATATTCTAAAGATGGCAAAGTAAAAAGCCAAGATGGAATTGCTCCACTCAATGAGTTATCATTCAAGAGAAATTCTTCTAGATTCTGCCAGAAAGATCAAGTGAAATCAATTTTGATAGCAAAGAAATATCAGATGGTACTAATCTATCGAAGCCAGAATCAGAAAGATTAAGATGTGTCAAACTTACTAACTGACTAAACCCAGAAGGGATAGAACCATTGAAATGGTTGTAAGCAAGGTTGAGTCGTTTGAGTCCTCGGAGGCGGAAAAGGCTGCTGTTTTCAGGAAAAGAGCCAACAAGAAAAGAGCAACTAAGGTCGAGGCTGATAACATGACCAGTCACTATGTCGCAAGTGACTCCACCCCATGAGCAGCAGTTTGTGCTTTCATTCCATAAGTTTGTTTTTGGATAAGAAATGGAAGAGTCAGCACAGAATTCTGTAACAGAATCATCGATGGAAATGGCGTTCTTGAATTGGAGCAAGGCAAAGCTGTCTTCTGGTAGACATAAAGGAGTTGAAAAATTATAAGAAGAGGAAGACAAACTTAAAGAACAATCGACTTTCGAAAGTAAGAACGGTACTAATAGGAGAATAAGGATTTGATGCAACCAGACAAACTTTCCCATATATCTAGAATCTAAGAAACAAGCGATGAAAGGAGGCAGAGGTTTAGGGAATGAATTTGAAAATGTGCTATGGTTGAGGCTTGAGAGATACTACGTGAAAGTGGATTAATGGAGGCCTATATTTATATCATTTCAAGTCAACTATAAGTCTTTCTTAAGTCATTTAAACTTCTTAAAATTTCCTATGTTTAATGTGGAGGTGATATTTTTATTTCCTCGTTGGCATAAACACTGAATTTTTTATCTTGTAATATAATTTATATTTTTTTCGTTAATTTAATGAAAAAAGAAATTCATTCAAAAAATGACCAAATATTGCTTCACCCACACTAATATTTATGGTTGTCTATAGAAATTAAGTACTAGAAAATATGAGATTCTTTTTTTAAAGTAATAAAATATGAAATTCTTGTTGATCAAGTATTCCAAAAAGAAAATGGCAAAATGAAAGCATATAGGAAGAATAAATTTAAAAGCAAAGAAAAAAAATGAAAAATGAAAAACAGTATTGGCTAAATAGATTTGTTATCCTTAAATATAAGGTCCTAGCCACCATTTTCAATTTGAAAAATTATCACATCCAAGTAGAGTTTTTTAACTCTACCATTAGGATTAACAGGGTAACCAATACTCGTTAAGTTATAGTAAAATTTTTTTAAAAAAAATAATTTAAGAAAATAAATTGGACATTTAACAACCTCTTAATCTCATTTGTGAAGTAAAACAAGTACATTATTGTGTATCTCTACTAGAACAATATCTACTAAAAAAACATGATCTTCACTTTAAAAACTGAGATTTTTTATTCTGAATAAAACATAATAGAATCAATAATATTTTCAACCCTATATATATTGCTCAACCTGCAATCTTTTAATAAAAAAATCGATATATTTTTTTAAAAATCTTAAAATCTACTTCTGTTTGTCTTGTTAAAAAATAGACGTATCTAACTTTTTAATCATACATAATGCTTATAGCAAAAGTCTACATATTACTACAAAAAGTAACTCTGATTTATCGATTTAGAAATCATATTATTACAAAAACAGATTTTTCCCCTTAATCTTTGCAAATTCTAATTGCTTCTTTACCAGCCTTGATTTCACATTAGTAATCCTTTTTAATTTTAATTAGATGCATGAAACAATGTTCGAATTACCCAACCTGATCATGAAAAACCATAAAAGATTTCTTACAGTAATTCTAGATTTCTCACTCATAAAGTTTAACTCCAATTTCAACGATCTAACAAACGTTCTTACAAATAAATAAAAGAGCTTTACTTGCCTTAAAAGAGATTGAACCAACTCTAATCTTTGGTTTTTGAATTTCAACAATGATTTTCCAATTCTCCAACCCAAAGCAAGAGAAACGAGTAAGCTCTCCCACGTTTGGCTCTTATTTTATGACACAACTCTTTATTATTTCAAAACAAAATGCGTTATTTATCCAATAGTCTTTATGAATCCTCTTTTTATTAAACAGCCCCGCAACTTTTAAATAAATCCTTTTTTTATATATTTCGTTAACCGGAGTACTACAAAAGGTGCGTTACAGGTATGTATAATTTTATGTGTTTGAGAAAATAATTTTAGAATTTTCTTTTTGTAATAATCATGAGAACAAAAAAAAAATTTCTTTGTTGTTTCTCCATCAAGAGCTAGCAAATTATTTTGGAAAGTTTTAAAAAAGACAACCTCTTTTTTTTATTATTCTATGAAAAAGAGATCAAGTCTTTGTGCAAATAAGACTGACTTGTTTGGGACTTGAGATTGTCTTCGTCAACCATATGCCCCCACCAAAATTTACTTCAATTACACTTTATTCATTTAACTTGTACGCGCTTTTAAGCAAAACAATTATTGATTGTTATATTTTATGGCAAAAGTGCCGTTACACAACTTTTAACAATCCACTTTAATTTCAGTTGCATGAGCGGTGTTTCTTTTATTATTATTTTTTAAAATTATTTGAGTGTTATTAATTTTTAAAAATTTTTAAAAAAATTTATTTTAATACATTTAATAATAAATATAAAAATTTATCCAAAATATGACTCAAAAGAAACTGTTAAAATCCCTTGAATAATTTCTTTTTATTTTTTTTGAGATTATTCAAGGTGTTTTTGACCTAAAAATACCTTGAATAATTTCTTATAAAAAATTGAATGGGGTCATTCAAGTCATTTTTGGTCGAAAACGTCTTGAATAATTCCCTTCAATTGTGTTTTTGGCCAAAACGTTTTCAATAATCTCTTTCATTTTGTTTTTGAAATTCAAAAAGGCCTTTAATAATTTTTTTTTCATTTTGTGGGAATTATTCAAGGTGTTTTATTGCCAAAAGACACCTTGAATAATCCCTTACAAAAAAATTGAATGAAGTTATTTAAGGTATTTATAGCCAAAAATACCTTAAATAATCCCCTCCATTTTTGTAATTGAAGAAGATTATTTAAGGCGTTTTTAGTCAAAAATGCTTTTAATAATCCCTTTCATATTTTTTGGATTATTCAAGGTATTTTTTGCCAAAAAAATACATTGAATAATCCCGTACAAAAAATTGAATAGGATTATTCAAGGCATTTCTAGCAAAAAACCCCTTAAATAATCTCATTCAATTAAAAGTCAAAATATATAGTAGAAATTAGGTCAACAAACACTACAAAAATATATTTTTAGTGGTGTTTTTAAACTAAATGCCACTACATAAGAATTTAGTAACTTTTATAAAAAAAAATACCATTAACCTTATAAAAACATGAAACTTTATGATATTTATTTAAAAACGCTACTAAAAAATAGTCACTAAATCTCTATTTTCATGTAGTAGTTGATCGATGAATAGGTAATTGATTTATAGTTGCATTTCCATTCCCTATAAGACGCAATAAGAAAATATATTTATTTTTTATTATTATTTTTTATTAGATAAATTTTATAATAAAAAATTAATTAAGATAGAAATGATAAAATAATCTATATCTAATGAATTTCGATTCACCCCAATAAAATTAATACAAATTTTTTAATTCAAAATAACTGGATTGAGTTTTTTTTTAAATCGAGCTCAAAATAGAGTAAAATTTTGGATGTTATGAATCGATTTTGATATATATATATAATATATTTTTTATTATTTATTTAATAATATATTTATATATTATTAAAAAATTATTCAATACTTTAATTTTATAAATTAATGTATCATTCCACTTTGTTTTTTTTTAATCATTTTCGTTGTTTTTCAAAATTTTATTTATTAGGTAAATTTTGTAAAAAAAATCAATAAATGTAAAGATAATAAAATAACAAACATTATCAACAAATGTAAAGATAATAAAAATAATCAAATAATTGTTAAGAAACTTGCTAAAGATTAATTGTTTATAAAGCACGAAAATTTTGAGCGAAGATAAATTGTACAAAAACTATTTTGTTTTCTCATTCTCTCCCCTTTATTTTATTACTATTATTGTATTTTTTATATCCATTCGAATTATAGAAAAAGAAATTATAAGTTGAAAATATTTTAGGATTTTTTTTTTTTACAAAAGAGATTATAATTCAAAAATAGCAAAAAGAATTATAAGTATTAAAATTTAAACTGATATCACTATTTAAAAATAAATATATAAATCAATTGAATTAAATTTTGAATTCATATGTATTTAAGGGTTATGTTACATTGAGCATATACTGTATGAACTAACAAAAAATGTTAGTACAGCAGATTTTCAATCAGATTTTCTTTGTTGTTTCTCCATCAAGAGCTAGCAAATTACTTTCGAAGTTTTAAGGGATGTTTTCATGAAAATCCTTAAAATTGATATTACAGCAGCATAAATTATTGAAGAATAAAGGATTTCAGATGCACAAGGAGAAACGTGACGACTACATTAACAAAGGGTTTTATCGTGTACGAGATTTTCATTTTTTTTTCTTTCAAGTTCATTAAAGATCAGATGACTGACTTTTTAGCTGCTTTTTCATTCCATGTGAGACACGTTAAAGATCAAACGTCGTAGAATTGTCCATCCCACGTAAGACACGATAAAGATTAGACATGGTAGGAATTCCCAACAAATAAAGAGAAAGAATAGAAACAAAATTGAGCAAAGTAGTTTCTTGCATGTTATCTAGTTCACATTTTACAAAGCCTTTTCTTTTGTGGAGGATGCAACTTTAATTGTTGGACATCACAAGAAATTATATATATATATATATATATATATATATGTATGTATATATATGTGTGTGTGTTAAAGTGAGTTGTTCCACATTTAATAAATTTTCAATATCATATAATCTTACATTCAAGTTGGGCTCTACATCCAATAAATTACTAATATCCTATAGTCTTATATTTCTATTGGGTCCCTCCACTTACTGCCAATTTGTTTTAAATTAAATGCCTAATGTGATATCAGAGTCATGATTTTTTTCTATTGTCTTTTATTAATTTGTCATGTGAAAGGCTAAATTGAATGTCCAACATGATATTAGAGCTAGGATTTCTTTTCGTTATATTTTCTTAATTTGTCATGTGAAAGGCTTATTCTATCTTCACTTACACATGATGAGGCTTATTAAAGTAAGTTTTTTCATATATAATAAATTTTCAATATCCTATAATTTTATATTCAGATTGGATCTCTCTATTTATTATTAATTGATTTTAAGTTGGATACTTAACAATATATACATAATAGAATTAGACTTGCATTTATATTAGCTGTGAAATTATTTTTTATTTTTTAAAAATATTTTAAATATGATAAAAATAAAAAAATTTATTAAATATTAACAAATGATAACATATAAATAGATATAAATATATTT